CAATAATTAAGGAACTAAATAGTTCCTTAACTCTTGCAATTAGATTTTTATAGAATAGCTATTTTTCCATATCACATTTCTCATCTTCAATTAGATAACTAGACTGGTTTAACTTATTCCAGATTATATTTAATTTCATCTAAAATCATTTCTGCCATTTTATAAGAAATAGAGATATTTGATGAGAAAATTTTTGTTTTAGTTATTTGTCGAAACCGTGTCTTCTTTTTCTTGTTTCTTCTGATACAACTATCTTAAAAGTTTAAGATAGGCTGTAAGATAGTTTTTCTTGCTTCTCATTTATAATAGTGCAAAGTTCCATGGTAAAAGATATCAGTTTAACAAAAAGCTACTTAAGAACAATGTGCCACTAACTGTTGACATCTGACAACAGATGGATTAGTTATTGTATTTTTAACTTACAGAAATGGCACAAAATTACTCTCCTAAAAGGCAATAATGATGACCAATAATATGTCCAATAAAGATAAAATNCGAAACGCGTTTCTGTAAGAAGTAAATGTAGGTGATGGAATTATTTGCCAAGTGTCTATAAATGCACCAAGTCGTGACATAGAATCAGAAGAAACGAGAAAATTTTTATTAAACAGATTCTTCTTTCCATAATTATTATTGAATTTGTGAAAGCAATCTTGAATCTGATTACATCAGTTTGAATAATCTTAGAAGTCCAACATATTTTCAAAAACAAATAAAATAAAATACTTTCAATAAGTTAGATATGTCTTACTTTAATGTTGTATAAATATTTTTGAAGCTTTTTAGTGTTATGCTCAAATGTATCATTCAATCTTTGAATCAAAACAGTTTTATCAATTTAGTACTGTTTGAATAAAGGCCAAATGATACAATGGATGACAAAACTAAAAATCTAAAATCTTTACCTAATGTGAAATCAAGACATCTTTAATTTATACAGTATTTTTATTTGATTTCAAGAATCAATTAGAAAAATGTTTACAATTACATCTCTCCTTATCAGTATGTAAAATCTTGTTGTCTATGGTTTATTGTCATTTACTGTTTACTTGCACTAGTCCTTTCAATAACTAATAAAAAATATTATAAATTATTATAAGACTTTTATCATATTTTAAGTAAAATGTGAGATAAAAAATTTTCTGAATTTTATTTGAATAAGTAAACAAAAATAAAACAAATGTTTGCAATACAAAAAAATTATAAATTATAACATATAGCAATGACATAGATATAGTAAACAAAATAAAAACATAATTTTTAATTTTTTGTTAATTTCTGTTATTTCAATAAATCAATTCATGTTCCTCAGATAAAAATGAGACAAAACACCTGTTTTAAAAATTCTTATAAAATTAGAAATTATTGAAGAAATCTTCTGTAACTGTAATTTGTAAGATTTTCTATTATTATATTTGTGCATGCTATTAAATTTAATACAAAACTAATAATTATTTTTTTATTTTTCCAAGATTTTGTATACATTAATTATTTTTGTTTTCCTTTTTAAAGTTTAAATGACCAATCTGAAAACAGAGTACAGTATGTTAAAGAACTGATCCTAATTTACCAGGCTGCCCTTAACATCCATATCTGAACTGAAATTTGAATGAGTTTGGTATTTGAGTACATATGAGTACTGTAGTCATTTTAGTGTATATTATTGTTTCCCAATTGGGGTGTGAGGATTTAAGCTCTTTTGTGAATTTTAAAGCTTCAATATTTTTTTCTCTCATCATTATTTCCCTTCTTCCTCCAGTTTCCACTTTCTGGTAGGTCAAAATTAGACCTTTCAACTCTTCAATTTTCTATGTCACTTCAAGAAGTGACCTTTTAAACTTTCAAAGACATTTCGGACCACAGATAAAGTTCTCCCCTCGGGAAGAACAAAAAGGTCACCTACAAGTGGAGTCCAAACCAAACCAACTCACACACTTCCTATTTCATCCGATTTTAATGTTGATAAAACCGATCAAATGACCCACCAAATGAACAATTATTACTAAGGTTGCAAGACACACTCTGACCTTAGTCCCCTCCAGCAATTAATTCAGTTATTTGACAATTGTTATCAATTTTATGAGGTAGAATGAATGTTAAGTTCAATTGTAACATGTGTCAGACATGTGTCAGGTGTGTGGATGTCAGCAAGTGTTGATGGACAGTCCACAGCTTTGTCACATGTGTCAGGTGGGTGAGGTAATAGTATCCCCAAGAATTCAGGGTGAGATTGTCTCGCCTAGAGAGGGAAAATTTGTGCGCTTCCCTTTAGGTGTGGGTTGAGTCAGTGTTGTGTGTGGAGTCAGTACTGACTGGGAAGCTAACCAGAGTGAGTAGCTGTGTGGCTGGTCAGGAACCAGTGTTGTAATTATCAATAATTGTCGGGTGCCGGAGTGTTTCTTGATTGTGGAGAGCCAGAGAGTCACTCGCTGATTTGGAGACATTAAAGTGTAATTGTGTTGTTATTGTTAGAAAGGAAGTGTGTACTGTGTTGTTTTAGACCGTGTAAACAGGAACATTTTACACCATCATCATCACAACATCATTTTATACAATAATGAATAATCATAATGGATAGAAAGAGGTAATAAATTTAAAGAAATGTTTCATTTCTGACAATTAACATAAACAAAACCTGGACACAAATCAAACTTAGGACAGGTTGCATCATCTGTAGCATTAGTCAGCTCTCTCAAAAATGGGTATAAAAAGGGCTTGGACACAGTCCTCCAGGCGGACATCAACAGACCCATATCACCATTCTGTCCGTCACCACCTCACCATAATCGCCAATGGTCAACTCCACCGATCCCAGGAATGTTTTTACCAACGGCCTATATCAAGACTGGTAACCAAGAGATATTATAGATTTTTGTAAGCTCTCTCTTGGGTCTCTCTCTTAGTTATAAGCTAGTTTAAGGTTAATTTAACTTAGAGAATATTGAACAGATGAAGGTCTAGTGACAAAAATAGAAATAGTCAAAAATTTTAAGTCGCAACAATGATTACTCTGTTCTTGTCGCTAGAACAGAGTAATCATTGTCGCAACTTAAAATTTTTGACTATTTCTATTTTTGTAGCCATTTGCTTTTGTATTTACTTTGTATAATTTTATAGTTTATTAAATGTGTTATTCTTATTTAACCTGTATAATTATTTGGAACCTATTGGCTTGCCCATCAACCTCCCCACTCACTTTTAGCCCTCCAACACATTTACAAAAAGCCATCTTCTGACAGAAAAGCCAGTAAGTAGGGTCGAGCTCGATGCTCTACCCCCTTGGTTCACAGGAGTATGTATTACTGAATATCTTATGGACCTGTGAAACATTTATAAAATACTCAGTAATGCTAGAAATAAAAAAAAAAATAAATGCACATTATATTTATTTTCCTGAAAATATAATGATAGAATTTCAATTTTGTTACAGAACATTATTTTCATTACAATTAGTATTATATAAATTACTTCCAACAAAGAATTTGCTTCAACATAAATATATATACAAATATATATATACATACAGTGGTTATAATTTAACACTTAAAAATAACATAGTACATGTATACCTCACTTTACGTCAGTAATTGGTTCCAGGAGAATGACTTAAGTCGAATTTACTTGTCTCCAAATCTACTTGTCACTAGGCTAAACCATAAATTGGCAATTGCGGTTCTGTATTTTATTTATTAATGCATTTTTAATAATGTATGGTTAATAAGGATCTATTTTAAGCTTACAAACAAATAAATTTTAGTTTTTAATACAGTACAGAAAAAAAGTAATCTAAATTTACAAATGCATGTACTGTAAATACAGTCGACCCCCCTATAAGATATAGATACGTTCCATTCTTTAGGAATCCAATTTCTTACGAATCCTTCCAATCACAACCCGACACGTATCAAGTTTACGGACTATGGCTGTTTGAAAGATTTTCTTCCATAAAATTAATCGATTCTAGACTAATCCGACTCAACATTTCCAAAATACGTAT